TAGAAGAACGGCTTTGGAGGCGGCAGGGTGGGAAGAGGTGGGAAGAGGGGACCCCCCCACACACGGCCAGCAACTGTCTGGAAAGCCGAGCGTTGTCGTCTCATGAGTACAGCGTTTTCTGAGGGAAAGGAGCCCCGGTTCCGTTTGTGGTAGCAAACCGAACTAAAAGTTATGCGGGACTTTTTAAGCGGCTGCAAGGAGCTTGATCTCGATCAACAGTTCGTTGCCTGGTGGTCTAAGAAACCTCGGAGTGAAACTGCATTAAATGTCTGGGGTGTTTTTTTTTTTTTTAAGAAGAAAAAAAAAGCAGAGAAGGGATTTCCACAGCCTCCATCCATACCACAGAAAAGAAGGGGGGGGGAAGCACCTCCTCCTGCCTGCCAACCAGTCATATACTCTGCAGGCAGCTGAACATGAAGCAAGGCTGATGAGCACAGCCAGTGGCCAGAGGCACATGATAAATGGAATATTGTGTACAATGCTAGTTTAACAAGTGGCAGATTTGGTCTGAGTCATTCACATCAAGATTATCTGGCGTATATCTGGTAAGGAGAGCTGGAAGACATTTGTTCGTCTCAAATATATATATGTATATATAAAAGAGCTAGGCTACCTTGGGTCCTTTTAAGGAGAAAGTGAAGGTAAAAATATTTAAAATGAACAAATAAATAAATAAGAGGCCAGCAGTTGGCTCTCTTGGTTAACATCTGTGGAAGACCAGCCAAAGGTTGAATGAATAGCACAGTGAATTAAGTGTCGGAGCCAAAGGTCGGGAGTTGGATTCCCTCTATACCTCCCAGGAGAAGAACCAGCCTGTATGGCCTTGGGCAAGCTACAAGGTCCCAGGACATCCCCAGAAGAAAGGAGTGGCAAATCATTTCTGAGGGCAAGCTGCAGAGTCCCAGGACATCCCCGGAAGAAAGGAGTGGCAAATAATTTCTGAGTACAGTGGGGTCTCGCTTAGTTCCTTGAAAACCCTGGAAATGATCGCCATAAGTCACAATTTATTATTTATTTAAAATATTTATATCCCACCTTTCTCCTCAAGAGAAATTGACTTGATTACATGTAATTATTGTATGCCAAAGGACTGAATGATGTGATAGGTATACATTGCTTCAATATTGCTGATGGGACAGTGTTAGCCCTGGGGAAGGTGTGAGTGCAGGATAGGCTACATCTTAACTACAGTCATCTTTTCCAACTTCTCACTGCTGCTCCTGCCTCCCTGCAAGAATCTGCCATCTGAGTTGACAGTTTCATGGTATCCCGTATTGGTGTCAGACTTGCTGCTGTATAGGGATCACCGGGTAGGACTGGCCATGTGTCTTTGAGAGTGAATACTTACATTGAGGACTGGCAGGGGCGGGGAGAACAGCAAATATTCAGGCATATATGACTCCATTTCCTAGAGTTTTTTGGATGATGAATTCCAGAATTTCCCAGCCACACTATCTAGAAAATAATGGTGGTGTTGCAATCCAAAAAGTATATTTCTAGTGCCCGCTCTTTTTCTGTCAGTGTGGCAGGAATTTACAAACTGAAACAAGTTTAGCCTCCAGTGACATGGATAAGATCAAAAGGGTTTGTGTGTAAGAGTACTAGTTTACTAGCTGATATAATTTATGATTCATTATAAATAGTTTATTATTGCTGAATAAACCTCTGGTGGCAATTTCTTGTGTTCTCTTTTGGGACTGCATACTTTCTAGGATTATATGGTAAGAACTGGAAAGTCTCTTAGCCTTTGAGCTTCTTTGGATTTGCAGATCAGGTACAATGGCCTATTGTCTGAGTTTCCCTTCAGGGAAGATGCACCATCAGGAAGACTCCTAGCTTTTGGGCAAGTGTCAGTAAAAGACATTTTCCCTGCTCCCAGTCTCTGGTCTAAACCATGATGTGGGGGCCAAAACAACAAAGTTCCCTAGCAAGTTGTTGCTCTGCACTGACAAGTACTCGTGCATTTGCTGCCACAGATTTTCCTGTTTACACGTATGAACACTGTACCCATTTTGGCCTTTCAAGGAAACTTGCACTTTATGAAAGGAAAGGAAAACAGAAAAAGCTGGAAATTTCAGAAGCCAATCCTTTGCCCGTTCACTTAGACAGTCCTACTTTGTTCAAAGAAACCAAGGGCTGCCAAATTTCATGTTTAGGAAAAATCACTGAGCTCCATGAAAAATAGTATTTCTTCTTGAGCAGAATAAAATTAAAATTTTAATTTGAGTTATTATCATGTGTAAATCTAGGTCTAGATTGGAACCACGTATGCTAAGTAGGGACGTGGTGGCATTGTGGGTTAAACTGCAGAAGCCTCTGTGCTGTAAGGTCAGAAGACCAGCAGTTGTAAGATTGAATCCACGTGACAGAGTGAGCTCCCGTCGCTTGTCCCAGCTCCTGCCAACCTACCAGTTTGAAAGCATGTAAAAATGTGAGTAGATAAATAGGTACCAACTTGGTGGGAAGGTAACGACGTTCCATGTCTAGTCATGCTGGCCACATGACCATGAAAACTGTCTGCGAACAACGCTGGCTCTACAGCTTGAGCACCGCACCCTAAAGTCGGACACGACTGGACTAAATGTCAAGGGGAACCTTTACCTTTACCGGATGCTGAGTTACCAAATGTAGTTAGGCATCCTTCAGTCATGATAGACTATGGTAATGTGCTCTGTATGGAGGACTTGGAACAGCATCTAGTGTGGCTGAGGAGGCCACTTCAAGAGTGACAATCCCTTCCACACTGTAGACAATCTGTCTCATATCCATCTCCCTGATTTTGCTGCTTTTGGGACTGCCTCTGTGCCTCAGCCTGCTGTACAAGAGTCTCTTCAAATTGGGAGAGGCCGTGATGCACTGCCTGACTCCAGGCTGAATGCTTAGATGTCAAGGTTTCCCATCTCTTGAGGTCCATTCCTAAGGCCTTCAGATCCTGCTTGCTGTGGTCTCCCTCTGGGGTGATTTCCCTGCACTAATTCTCCGTATAGGAGATCTTGGCCTGATGGCTGATCCAACCATCAGCCATTCTCACGACATGCCCAAGCCAATGTTGACGTAGCTGTTTCAGTTATGTATACATGCTAAAAATTCCAGCTCGTTCTACGACTACTCTATTTGGAACTTTGTCCTGCCAGGTGATACCAAAAATCCATTGGAGACAATGTGTATGGAACGTGTTCAGCTTCCTCTCCTGTGATGCACAAAGGGTCAAGGACTCATTGCAGTACAGGAGTGTGCTTAGGACACAGGCTCTATAGACCTGGATCTTGATATATGCCATCAGCTTCTTATTAAGCCATACTCTCTTTGTGAGTCTAGAGAACGTGGTAGCTGCTTTGCCAATACGTTTATCCAGCTCAACATATAGGGAGAGAGTGTCAGAGATTGTTGAGCCAAGGTACACAAAGTCATG